CTTTCATTGTGAGTAACTATTTGTTATAAAACTAATTTTCATATGAATTGATTGCGTCTACACTTTGAGAGAGACATTGAGAAACAAAATTAATAATTATTTTTATAAATTTAATGTAAAGATATATTTAATCAGTGAAAATGTTTTTAAAAAAATGTTTTCCCCTCTATGTATAGAGTCTTTGCTTTACAGTACTAATGAAAAGTCAGAACTAAATCATATATTTTTAATTAATTGTCAAAAACATGTTTACAATACTTATGATCAATGAATGGTTTGGGAGGACTATGAGCTATGAATTCATTGGATGGGAAGGTAGTCTATTATGATAAGTCATTATTAATAAGTATTGAATTTATGAGTATTGTCTGTAACAGGATTTACATTCAAATAAATTATTTGATTCTTATTTATATAAACAAATACTTCAAAAGTAATTTATTTAAAACTTATTAAAATATCACTATAATTTACTCGATTACTATACTAAAAAGTACTGCATTGGTAAATGTACTACAGTATTAACATGTATGATAATTAGTATATAGCTATTGTATTACTGGTTTATTGTAAACTCGGGCTGATTCGCACCGGGATGCCTACACTAACAATAGAATTGAAAATCAATAGATCTGTATCAATACGAATGGGGATTGAGTTTTTCAGACTATTATATGGTATTCTCAGCTACTGTTTTATGCACAGTAAGGGCACCGGCAGAGGATTTCAATATAACTGTAATAGCCTCTCATTCCTATCACTGATATCATTATAATATTATTAATTATAACTCAGATTATTCTAAATATTATAAAATACACCATACTAAAAACCAATATATTTATAAATCACATCCCGATCCCCATTTATTTTTATTATTATATTCGTATAATTACTTTCAATAAATTATTATATTGCCTACCTGTAGTATATTGAAAAAATTAAATTAACAAACTACTACATTAATTATTTCAAAACTAATTCAAACTCACACAAATTACATTACATTCAGTCGAGAAAAATCTGTTTAAAAAATATTGAAACTTATTAAAAGTTATTGATTTGAGTGAAGCAAATTTGTACATGGGGTACATCATGAAGATTTTCACCGTGACTATTGTTGTGACCCTGGTGGTTGGTATGGTGCTATTTATTAGCGGTGGTGTCGGCGCGTTACCTTATGATGAAAGAAATGGTGATGGAGGTGGTGATTAGAAATGGTACCTGAGTAGTACTATTTATTTGGCCATGCTACCAAAACACCTATTATATGCAACGTGACAATTTAAATAGCATTATTTAATATGTTTAAATTATGACATAAATTTTGTAAAACTATTTAATGAATTTGTATTAATTTATTTCTGTAAGAATTTGTTTCATTCAAATAAATATAATAATAACTTTTATAATAAGTTTTAATATTTTGTTGAACAGATTTTTCTCAAATGAATGAAATGTAATTTATACGAGTTTTGATTAGTTTTGAAATAATTAATGTAGTAGTTAGTTAATCTAATTTTTAATATACAGGTAAGCAATATATTAATTTATTGGAAGTAATTATACGAATCTAAACTAATAATTAAAGACTAACTGGAGACTAAAAGTTTTACAATAGTATAAATGGGCTATCAGTATAAATAGCCGTATAAGTAGATGACAATAAACTTTTTTGCCAGTTATAAACTATATATTTAATAATTTTTAAAAACTTTTTCTTAAAGCTCATCGAAACAGTAATTTATAGTTCAATATAAACCAAAAACAGTTATTAGTTTATTCAAGAATCTCTGGTTTAAATCAAACCCTAGAAAACAGTACTTTATTTCCCATAAAGTGATATAAAAAATATTTATAATCTTAATATTTATGGCTATTTTTATAATGAATTTTGTGGGTTCGCATAATTTATTTGACTTTTAATACAATAATATAGCATGGCAATTATGATATGTTCAGCTCATATTAAACTCATTGAACTCATTGTTTTTAGTAAAGATTTTCATACCTGTGCTCTACTTTTACAAAAAATATTTCAGTAATACTGTATTCATATATGACATCAACTTTATGTTCACAAAAATGATCTGCAAATGCCTTAATCTAATTACCAGTATTTGTATCACACAAATACAATACCACCAAAATATCCTTGTATTCAAAACAGTAATTCATTCAAACGATAATAAAACTTGAAAACTATTTGTACGTGAGTTTTGAACACATAATACTATTCCTTAAATAATTTGCTTTCAATTTAATATGATTTTCATTTAATAGTTTATACGTGTGGTGAATTTATATAATCTTAACCATTCATTTATCACACTTTTAAAGTATATTTCAAAAGCGTTTTTATTTTCTGATTTCAAATGACTTTTTTAAATTGAGTCAATCATTCAATTTTCTTATTATTCCAATGAATGTTAATGCATGTAATATATGCTCATAAATGCTTTTATAGTCTTAAAACATATTTATTTATCCCATATATGGCTAATCTTTTTATTTCATTGCTATATTGAATAACCATAACCAACATAAATAAGCTAATTTTGTATTCAATTTATTTCTAATCTTTTATATATTTGGAAATAATTATTAATAACACTTAAAATATATTTATAATTATTAAGGATATTTAGGACTTACAGTAATTACTAATTAGCAATATCCAGAATTTATCAATATATTTTTAAGTAAATTAATTAATTAATAATTTAGGTTTAGGTATTAATTAAGTGTAATATAATGATAAGAGATTTATTTCTAAAATTAATGTAAAATGAATGTCCACATTTTGTCAAAACTTAATATCGATTTATTTTTTTTAAATTGAGTACATAATCATAATATCTTAATTATAATAATAATTGAAACACAATTAACAAATCAAATGCGAATAACAATTGTTTTGTCATTTATATTATTATTTATATTTTTATATAATATTTATATTCAATATTTAGCTACATTTCATCGTATAATATATTTTTATAATAAAACATTTATCTCAAAAACTATTGCACAGAATATTCTGTCCGAAGTTCACTCTTAATGTTATAAATCATAATCAACTCAAGAATAATACATTGGTTTTCACTCTACATAACCAAAAAATATCACTAATAGTTTGACTAAAAATTGTAATAACATAATAGCCTAATTAAATTGATTGATAACATAAAATTCATTGACTTGAATGTCACCTGAAAATTATAATAACAAAATTAATTCAAAAACGACTGGTAATTACCTAGATACAATTATATTGACATATCTATACAATAAAAGTGATTCCGAGCATTTAATTCTTAGCACATCTGTTGTCATATATTATTATATAATAAAACAATTCAAAAAGTAGTTTTAGTTTTTACGAGTGATTTGTTTGTAAATCTGATTATAAGATATAAATTCTTGTTGTCAAAGAATATGAGACAAAAATATTATTGTTTTTTGTTTTGTTGTAAACATTTTTATAATTGGATTTTTGTCGGTAAATAGGTTTATAACGTGTTTAATCTTATTGTGTGTTTCACAGTATATAAGCTTATAATCACAAAAAGAGATTATTATATATTTTTTATTCACAAATGGTTTTGTGTGTAGACTTTCAGTACACTTTCAGTTATACTCTTTAATAATTCACTTGAATTTAAAGCAAATATTATTTTTTCAGTTCTGTTCTCACAATTGAATTCATTGTTAATAATACAGTAGTTGTTAACATAATTCACAACAAATTATTGGTAAATATTTTTTAAGCAAAAATATTATACATTTTTTATAGTATTTATATTTATAGTTAAAATGCAATACAACAACAGATATGATGTTCTCAATCGGGTATTAATTAAATAAAAATAAATTGAAAAATAAAGATCACATTTTGAGCAAAAATATCTCATAATTAAGAAATAATAATAAGAAAAATTACTTAAGAATTATAATATAAGTTATAAATACAAACTAATCGCTCAATTCGTACGTGAATTACGAAATAAATTCATTAATAATTTAAATATACATATAATTGCTGAGAGAGAAAAAACTTATTGATAAATAGTATTAAAATAAAAATCACTGAAAATATATATAATATAAGAAATACATAATTAATTAACATATCAACATAATTAATTATAAGCCATTTAATCAATACTTTTTTGTCCATAAGATATTTGCATTTATTTTTGTGTATTTTTGTAGAATTTTTATTTTTAATTGATTTAAAAGGACTTTTCATGAGAGACGAGAAATTTTCGAAATAAGAGTAAAAACCTTTTTTCAGATAATTATATCATTATATTTAATACAGTTTAAAATTTAACAGCATTTTAGTCAAACAAATAATCATTTATCGCGAGTAAAAAACAACTCAATAAACAGTTCATTATTAAATTGAGTTAACATTAACTGTCGGCAAAAACCAGTGGATTATGCGATCGGAGGAAAAGTGAGACAAAAAATAATAAACACTTTTCCATAAGTACTGAACGGAAAGCAACACAAAAATTAATTGAGTCGTGGAGTCGACGGATACGCGAGAAAAAGAAAAGTCCCAAAAGTGAGCGCAAAAAACATTGTGACAACAAAAAAGTGGCCAATTTTTCTCACTCAAAAGGGTTGTCCCCACATATCTATAGCGAGAAAAACTTGAGAAACGCTTCCGGAGGAACCGGTATGTGAAGGGGCACTGTCTTCAGCGACTCGTTGCTGCCATCGTTATCCAGATGATTGTTATTGTGGTTGTAGTGCTGAACGAGCGGGTGATGAAAGAAAGGCATGTTATGGACAATAACCGGTTGATTCTGCGGATGATTCGCTCCATTTCCACCTGAAGGCTGTTCCTTAGCACCGGGAAGGGCGACGCGGTTCTGATATACGCACGGATGACCATAAGACTAATTGCGCGGCACATGGAGGTTAGGGATTAAGACATATACAATGCGTTAGAAATATAATTGAGATATCAATCGGAGTTTTTTCTCGTTTTGTCAATCATTGACGTGTGATCTCATGTGTGTATTGTGTGATAGATTTAGTGATAGGAAAAAAGTTTTCTCATGTATTAGTCGAGTGTATATTTTGTGTGATATAATAATAATGATATGAAAACCAGTGGCCATACCTTCCAGAAAAGGCAGCGACAGTGTCGGCACAGGAATAGACAGTCGGCGTACTCTTCTTTGAGTCCGAATTTTCTATAAAAAACAAAAAATAACCCAAAAATCAGTCGCAAAATCCAAATAAACTATTTTAAAGCCAAAAATAACTAATCAAACGAGAAAACAGATTATAATGTCTAGAGTCGACAGCTGACTGTCACACTAATCACAAAAACAATCGCTACAGCGGGAATGGTAGGCAATGGTGGCATACTTTCTGAGCTGATGAAACACTCGCTCCCAATCGACTTTGCCATCTGTGGTGCAAGTGTTGGTCTGGTTGGCGAAGAGCCACCGCAACTGTGCTCTCGTGTAGTGATATTTGCAGAGTTGGCGCCATATGTGCTGCTCGTCCAACAGGGACTGCATTATATTGTATGCCTGACCGGAGTTCATCAGATCCTTGTAATCCGTTAGTCGTAACAGTATTTCGCGGATCAACTCTTCCGGCAAATCCGTGAATCGTTTGCTGCCGTCTTCCGGGGGCTGATCACCGCAAACACAGACAAAACAATTAACATATCATTCATTAAAACGATTTTTCAATAAAATTCTTGATTTGAGTTATGAATATAATAGTGGTTTGAATGGCAAACCTCTTTGATTTGTATTTTGTTGGCCATATTGCAGATGCGCTCCATAGTCCTGAGGTGTTGCTCCCAGAGCCGGGTGCTGCCCAGGGGTCGACCCCAACAGTAGTACTTCTTCATGATCTTCTTGAGGTCGTAGAGCAAAGTGTGCAGAATATGGATATTCTGGTGATTATTGGCCACTGGAATGGTAAACAACATATGAGAAACAGGTTAACGAGATATAAATATGAAAAACAAAATCGTTTTATGCGATAATAAGTCGTTTAATGGATTTCAGGCAACACTTCCTTCATCTCAATATGAGATACAATTATTTTCAATACGAGTTTTTCCTTTCCATAGCATAGCATGAGATCAACGTATTTCACATAACGTTATATAATATACATGTTTAGTTAAATTTGCAATTACTCTGCGATACACAACAGTTTTCATGCATTATTTTAAAAAGATTATATCTCATTTGAATAACAAATTAAACTCTAAACTGATAATACCATTATGTATTATATAATATTATTATAAAATATGAATAACAAAACTATACGATGAATGGACCCTAATTTAAATATTTTTAGTATACAAGTGGGGTATATACAGTACAACATAGTGTGTACTATTTATATAATGTAAACTTTAAACTGATTTAAATATACGGAGTCGAAAAACCGTAACAATAAATACTACGCTAAAAATAAATCCTCAAATATTTAATTATAAATATTATTAATGCAAATGACTTCAAAATTTGGCGTCGATTTGAGTGATTAGTATTTACTCTATTTAAATGCAAACCGCATGAAAAATAATCACAAAAAAGTTACAACAAAACCAAAAATACATAATTCATACAGCAACAAAAAACTAAAACACAATTTTTGTATCTAATTTTCATATCAAAAGGAAATACGAGAATAAATTCAATTAAAAACACAAATTATAATAAAAAAGTTTTAATTTCAACACTAATTAAGCATAAAATAAGGGTCTCGTAAGGGGTTGGGCCGATGATAGGGGCGCACATACCTTGCCAGGCTAACTCCTCGAGCATCGTAAACAGTACTTTGGTGGCACAACCGGACAGGGAGGTCAGATTCTGGGTGATGAGTAGGTGCAACAGTTTGCTTATGTAGTTAAAACGGCGGATGTCTCGGATGGCGTTACAGAAGTCTAACTTATAGAAGGCCTCGGAGATGTTGTTATAGCCGGCCACCTCTTTGGTGTGCTTAAGGGTCACCTGACAGTAGGGCTGCCACTCCAGAGCCGCCATATTGGCCGCTGTGGTCGAGTCCTTCATAATGGCCTCCGGGATGGGCTGCGAGGAGGACTTCTGGAGCCGTTGTATGATCTCTGCAATCGTCTCGCGGGGAGCGGTATTCTCGTCGTCCGAGTCCGAGTCGGTGGACGAGTCGCCCGAAAAGCCACTGAAAAATAGTTGAGAAAAAAGTTTTTTAGTCCTCTTTTTGTTTGTTTTTCTGTGTTTTTCAATGATGTGTCAGTTCCCTGGCGTTCAATGTCTTAATAATCTGATTGTAATTATCGGTTAATTGTCTTATTATAAGCTTTTTATGTTTAGCCGAAAAACTTTTTAAAAACTTTTCTAAAAACTTTGTTTTTGTTGCTATTCCTCGAGCATAACACATGACTGACTCGTGAGAGACATTCATTTTCGGTGTAAATGACTATAAAATTAAACATCAGATCACAAGACAGTGTGACTGATGAGAGAGGGAGAGAAAGAAAGAGAGAGAGAGAGAGAGAGAAGTATTTTTAATCTGTATTTTCTATTTTCTTTGAAACAAATGTTATTTTTGTCGACAAATGTTTGGATATATTGGGCGCACAAATAGATAGTCAGAGTATATTCCGATCGACACTTGACTGGTGGTGTCGACTAAAAATAGACGTTTCAATATAAATACTAAACAAAGGGTTTATTTGAATGAAAGCCAAACTCCCAAAAGATTTTGTGTGCGAGCGATGAATATGAAGAGCAAACAAAAAACAAATACAAAAAAGTTTTAGCCATAGATTGCAATACATAAGCAGTTTTATCTCGCATTCAAATCGATGTAAAAGTGATGTTTGAAAATTGAATTTTATTTTTTATTTGTTGGCAAATGAGCCAAAAGTTTGTATGTCTATTGCTCTGTAACTGTGCGAGACTGTTAAAGTGCACAGTTAGCAAAAAAAACGAGGGGAAGGTTAGCCTCGAAAATCTCTCAGAGCCTAACCCTTAAACATCCAATGCTTCCTGGATTGCATCGGTTCTTGAGTTCAAATATTGTCTTTCATTTTCAGATTAAATCACTGAATATCGAGAGAGAGAGAGAGAGAGAGAGCTATTTGAGATGAGAGGGATAGGCAACTGATGTAATCTAATGGGAATTTCGATGAGTGAAATATGTTATAAAAATAATTTATTCCCATTTATTGCATACAAACACCAGATATAGACCAGAGATTATACGGGGCTTTAAGTCAAGTGATTAGCAGTTATGGAGAGAAATTCAAAACAAAATGTCAATTCATTTCGACTCCAAAATCAATATTTAAAATCTCAAACTCTGTTTGGGAGTTAAGGTCCCGGAGATTTGCACAGGGATTACACCAACAAAAGGCTGAATCACGAAAATGAGCGCTAATTTCGGTGTTTTTCCCACTAATGAAAATAATTTTCCCAAAACTAGATTCTATTTATGTTTTATATAATAAGACGATTAAAAAACATGACTTATAATTGTTGTCAAGTTTTTCTCATTTATATACAAAACATTGATTATATGGTATATAAAAGACTACTTGTGCTGTATAATTGAATTTAGCATTAAATTGTCACTCATTTTCAGTGTGTATTCATTAGGGAAACAAACTTTTACTTCATTTAAACTTAAACTCAAACCTAAATATAATTAATACAACGCTTTGCTCGAAAAAATTGCACTTAAAATAGGAGACAATGTCTAAGAAAAGTATTTTTAAATTTAGATTTCAAATGGATTTCACTCTTACGGTAGAAATGCTACGAAAAAAATAATTACACATAAAATGTATTTTTAAAAAGCCATAAGTCGTTACTTTTTACAACATATTTTCACTTTAGATTTCTATTGCCTATTATTCAATTGCATATCAATTAAAGCCTAAAGTAATTGCTTTTTATTTTTAGGACACGAACACAAAATTGAAATTCAATTATTAAATCTCAACGATTTATATTTTAGCCTAAAATTTATAATTATATTTAAAAATAAAGTTTTTATTATACGGGGTTATAGCTTATTATATAAGTGGAGACTTAAATTTATAAGCTATTATATGGTTTTGATTTTTTATGAGACAATTAACTGAATGTTATTACCTGAATATTTATGATTTTATATATTAACTATTGAATAAAAAATAAATGTAATTAAATTTTATTAATAACTTATATCCAGCGAAATAAAAAATAACAATAAGGCTCAGAGAAAAATATCATGAAATAATATATTTGTTGTGATATTTTTTCTCATTCAACAAAATAACTAAATTATAATTTATAGTAAATGTAATAAAAGGGGTTTCTTTGGCTATTTTTAATACACATATGAATACCAATGCACTCAATACGAGTGTTGGCACAGAAAATATACCGTAATTTCATCGCAAATCTGATACACAAATACATTATGAGTGCGAATACAATAGTGTAATAAAATTCCCGAAACTTATATGTCGTCCTAAAAACTCTCGTTTAGTTTGTAAAGTATTATATCATGTGTTTTATGTGAGAGAATTGTTACTAATCTTAAACTTTTTGTTATTAATTCTTTACGATTAAGATCTCTCTCTCTCTCTCTCTCTCTCTCGCTAATGGATTACTTGATTCAAAAAATAGTTAACAAAACAGTTTGCATGTGAGAAATATCTGATGAATTAGTTTCGCGATTCTGTGTTAAACAAACTCAAAGAAAACTCCATTCATTACACTATAATACAAACCAATAATTCATCAAAAATAACTTATTTTGGATTTTAAATTCAAAATAACCTAAACCCCACTCACTCACAAAAAATACTTATAATAAATAACAAATTTGTTACGAAAAATATTGTGTGAAAATCATGTTTATTCACACAAATTGCCAAAAATACATTTTCAAATCACTTCATCAATAATTGTATGGAAATTAATAACGCATTCAAATCAATGGGATAATCAATGGCTAGGCGTTTGGTGTAATTAATAAATATTTATACAAAATATGTTTACAAAGCAATAAATCATTACAAATATCATTAAATGTATATTTATTATAAGTCTTCCGTATAAATAAAAAGAAAATATTAAAAACTCATATTTCGTACGAAATTAATAATTAATTAAAAGTCAATAAAAACAAAAATCATAAGCAATTAATTAAATGATTTATTAGGCTAATTGTCGATAATTTTCTAAACAGGGAAATATATTTCTAAATGCAAAAAATTAATTTCAAGCACAGAATTGATTGCTACATATATTTTTGAGGCTATATTTAAATCATATTTACGACACAAAACCGTATGAATCATACGATAGACAACAGGATCTCTGGAAATACAAAAACCAAAAACACATATTTCGATAGCAACTCATCACTCAATTAACTCATTCCTATAACAAGTATCTCAGCGAAGGTTATTCACCACATAATATCATCAATGATTGTAAAATTTTTTTTGTGATACCTAACCACTCGTTGAGTGTATTTCAGTGCATTTGTGATGCAAAACCTATTTGACAGTCATTTGCGATAAACTAGTCGTTTATACCGTTGTTGAAAGTGATTTCAAATGTTATTTTACGCCAAAATTTCTTAACTCGACAGCAATTGCGATGAAATAAAAAAAACTTTTTTAATTAAACCGATTTGTATTGATAAGGATCTCTACAATAGAAATGAATGACTGCTTAAAATACACACAAAATTCTTTGTCTCAGCATTTAATTGCAAATTATAATCATTGCCTCAAACTATGTATCGATATTTGTGTCTAAAATAAAAAACAGGATTTTCTCTCTTGAATATGACTTCAAAACGCATTCATCGATGAAAATCATTGAGATTTTAAAGTCAATTAACCATTAATTATATCTTACTATTAAAATGCGATAATAATTTCACTTCAGACAAAGAAAGCTAATTATAAAATCAGTGATATTTCTCTCAAATATAATTCATTTATAATATACACTGTATTCGCACTAATTGTGTGCCTATTCTCGGTGTACACCCTTTGAACTGAACATAAATTTCTGTAATTTTATATAATTTTCATTGAATTTTAAATTTTTGCACACAAATAATTACTTCATTAAAACATGGTTAACTAAATTCTGCTATAAATTAGCGCTAAAAATAGCATTAAATTCACACCAATCTGTATAATATACACATTAAACGCAACATCTGTTATGTTCACTATATCGAGACATAACTGAATGTAAAGTTTATTAAATTTTATACAAGAAATCAAATGATTTATTACTGAATCCCAACCTTGGGTTGAAAGTTATGAAATATTTTTGGCTTTAAAAAATTTAATACATTTTTATCAATTTGTATTCTCATATCCACTTCACACTACAAAAAAATCGTATTTTATTTGTGGCACAAGTTTTGCGACAAAATATAAAACACACATAAAAACCATAACATTAGAGATCGTAATCAAATCGGGTCTCGAAATGTGTGTTTCAAATGCAATGCAATTTAAATTTAATTTTAATCTCAGACCCAAAACATAAACACATAAAAAGGAAATGCCTTTTAATTATTACTGAGAAGTTTAATAAATTAATTAACTAAATCATTAAAAAGTAAAAAAAAAGTTTCGCAAAACTTTCTCTCTCACTATGAGATAAAATAATTTTATTTATTTTTCAATTTATGAATTGTTTATGAGTTTTGTTTTTATGAATGTAATTATAAAAATATCGGTCGATTTCGTACGGCTTGCCATAAAGTACTGCCAAAAGATTTTGTGTCAGAAAAACACTTTTCATTATACAATATATTTTAAAATCCCGTTAAAAATCGTTTAGCAAACATGTATCTTTCAAAAAATACTAGTCTATTGTCAGTTATGCGTAAAAATAATTGGAAATACATTTTTCGTATTAATATTTCGAGAGACACACAAAACACACAGAAATTTCAAAAACTTTTCAGACTATCCTTGAGATTCAAATCCTTGACAAAACATAAAACAAAACTCGATTGTTATTACAAAATACAATTCCCTAACACCCCATGTGTTGTACAAAACACTTATAAATATTATATGTAATACTAATGTATACAAAAGAATTAGAGAAAAGTCTCAAGCAAAAAAGTTTTAATACGATTTTATATAATCTTATTAAATAAGACAAACACGTAATGCTCTTGAAAGGCATCACTAAAAAACATATGATAGATGTCTAACACAAAAGTACAAATCATTTCACACAAAATTGGGTTAACTCTCCAAACACACCACAAACTCCTTGTTATTATGACTGAGACTTTGCTTGTTATCCTTATTATGCAAAAAACAGAGACTGTCAGAGAGAGAGAGAGAGAGAGAGAGAGACTACTATTTAATAATAAAAATAAAAAATCTCATGATCTCTAAAAGCTGTGAATCAGTCTATTAGTCC